GCGCCTAGACCGAAAAGGATAACGGGTAAATTAACATGAATCATAATTGTTCTCTATCAGTCGGTGACAATCGCACAATGGAGAGCAAAATGCACATTTGTTTTCGCGTTTTGCGCAAGGAAAAAAAGTGCCGCGTTTCACATCACATTCCATCAAAGATAATTATCTGCTTGATAACTGTTCAGAGTTATCGCCAGCTACAGATCTAGATAGTAGCTTCGAAATAGGTTACTTTGGGGATAAGAGCCAAAAATTTAGTATTTCCAGTCYAGTACATAACTTGCTCAAGACGTGTTAGATAACATATGCGGCAGCTAGTAACTGTGAATTAATTATCCCCATGATCTTTTTCAGTCTAGGCGCGTAGGGATGAAGCCGATCCAACGACAATGTTTATTCAAAGGACTGTATATAAAAAGTTGATGCAGGAAAGCGGCCGGTTATCCCTAAGCCATGACTTTTCAAGAGAAAACTTGACCGAGAAATAAAACTTAGAAGGGTTACTCTATCAAACAGACAGGGTAACCCTACCACTAGAGAGGTATTACTTTGGGTGTGCTTGTAAAACTGATCTCAGCCCACCCCCAACTTGAACCTCATGAGCAAAAAGGCACAACAAATCCTCCTATGTATTGATCTCAAGGGCGGATCCAGGGGAGGGTCGGGGGGGTCGCGACCCCCCTGTCATTCCTGAGGTCAAATGGGCTTGTTGTGCTAAAAATGCAACTGGGATTCCTTTGCCCACAAAATTTACTCCTGAGACCCCCCTTCAAAAAAACCCTGGATCCCCCTTGGATCTATATATATGGCTTAATATACATCAGGCAAACCCACATTTAATGGACCATTCATTTTTGCTGGGGAGGGGGGATGGGATTTGTGGCAGGGTCGCAAAAAATCAGCTTAAGAGGGGGTGGGCACAAAAAACCTGAGTGACGCATGTACAGTACTTTAACAATAAACAGAATAGAAAACAAGGTATGGGTATTTTTTATGCAACAACGGAGGGAGGGGACCTCAGAATTCTGGGATGGGATACCAAGCAAATCCAACTACCCCCTTCTGTGATCCCAATAAAAAATTGAATTGTCCCCTAGAAGTTTATTAACGATCATGCATATGCATGCACTACTAAATTTACACAAAAAAAGTACCTGTCATGTGAAAAACAGATTTAAATCCAAGACCAAATCTCCCAACTTTGGTGGGATCCTTTGCCTTGATGCTGTCACACAACATACCAATGCCATCCCAGTCTTCATCAGTAAACTTGGCGTCATTATAGGCATACAATGCTGGACCCTAGAATGAAATCAAGAAATGTTAAAAGTAAAAAAGCAGGGGACAACTGCACTCAAAATAAAAAAAGAACAATCAAGGATCATCTGCAAAAAAAATACCAGGACAAATTTTAAAAATTATTAAACATTACAAATAAAGGGCCAATAACGGGTGTGCCCCTATTGCCTCTCCCCACACAAAAGTGTGCAAAATAAAGGTCTGATTCAATTCTACCTGTCATTGCTAGACAAGTCTCAACTTCTAAACTGGCATATTAGTCTTCTAGCTGTCACTGAGTCATAAATTTAATTATCAAACGTATTAACTGAAGATGGCTTAATTCTTTGAAGTCTGAAAACACATTACAGAAGTACACTAGCTTAAATGCGAGACACTGGTGTGGTAATGAAATCTGTGGTAAGTAAATGCATCATCATTTTACCTGAAACTCGGCTAGGTCAGGGTGATACAAGTTCTTTGTGCCATATGAGTTATGGTCATATAAAAATTTCACTTCTTTGGCTTCAGCATCTTCAGCATTTTGAATGAGCTCCTGTAGAAAATTTATCCAGCATGAATGGCTTGGTTAATGCACGTAGCTAATTAACTTTATCAAAATAAAGGTAAATTACCAAAATCTTATAATATTGAGACAGTAATAACAGAACATTATACTGACAGCATAATGACAATTATGAGGGCTGTAATTTAGATAACTCACTRGGTTAATACATCGCCCCCTTTAAATAAAGTTTATTCTTCTTCATATCAAAACATTATAGCATGGTTAGATCTGGTAATCCAACTATAACCTACAAATCCCAGTTCAACCAATAGAATGAATACTGATACGTAGCAGTAGTTTGTCTATAAGTAGCATGCCGCCTCTTTCTTATTATTTTCCCAGTCGAGCAACTAGATCACTTTAAARATTGTTTCAACATAAAATATCAATTGTATTAATCACATATAGTAATATCAATTTTTTAATACATTTTTGAAAAGTTAACCATGCACACCATGTACATTGAAAACAAAGAATTTGACATAAGCCAATCAGGAGCAAGCAACAACGCCAAGATCTTACTACAGGGTAGTACTTGGACATTGTGAGAAGCCGAGATTAAAATGCTTCCTGATTAGTTTAACCCCTCAAAAGAAAATATAGTTGATTCCTCCTCATTCAAGTTACTTTATTATTATTATTATTTCATTCTATTATTTCATATATATTTTCCTCTATATGCCGTCCACCTCCACATAACTATTTACATGATTTTTTTTTTACTTTACATTTTTTCCCCTGATTATATTAATCCTCATATCCCCTTACTCCCTCCTCTCAGTTAGTATTTACACCCCAGGGCTTATACTCTAGGGTTTTTGGTAATAAAGTATATTCTAACCTTGAGTATTTGTCCATCATCAGGATACTGATCTAGTATTTTCTTGATCTGTTGGATGAGTGTTGGCTGGGCAAGACCAAATTTAAGATGTGGATCCTCACCTAGTAGTCAGTAATTATTAATTGTTATTCAAATATTATTGAATACATGTATTTTTTTAAACTAAGTAATTTATTAGGATGTTTTTTAATTTTAGCTTCTATTGTGTAGTCCCAAAAATTATCCATTTACCCCC